TTTAATGAAAAAAATCACTTTTTGTTTAAAAAAATATTTTATGAGTTTTTATGATGTTTGTCTTAAATTTTAAAAACAATCAGAATCTAAAAAAAAAAAAACACATTTCTGATTATTTAAAGAAGCTACTTTGAGTAGCTTTTGAAAATAATCTAATGCGGTAGGTAAGAAAGAGTATTTTAAAGAGGTGGGATACGTGCATATATCATAAAATGTTAAAATAATATAATAATAAATTATTTTTATAAAAAAATCAAGGAAAATATCATAAAATTAAAAAATAACTAACTAATAATTATTTTTTATTATTATAACCAAACATAAAATAATGCTTATTTTTTATAAAATCTCTATAAAATAAATCTATTTTTATAAAAATCTCCTAAGCATGTAAAAAGCACTTATTTTTAATTTTAAATAAACGAGTCCAAAAAAAAAAAAAAGACATGGGAAGAGGTAACATGGGTTGTGTTGTTCCGCACAATGGCATGGAAGGGTAAGACTAGAAGAGGGAGAAAAATGAAAGTGATGATATTGGAAGAGAGACAAGAGGCCATCGGTCAAGATCTTATATTTTATTAATTTATTAATTTATTTTAAATTTTTTAATTCTATCTTTTTTAAAAAATGTAATTTTAAATTTATTTTTTCTGAAAATATCAAAATGAGTCACAAAAATACTGACTTCTTACCATGGGATGCCTTCTTTTAAGAAGGTAAAGTTTGAAAATTTTTATCATTTAATTCTACCTTTTTAAAAATTTATATTTTTGATTTATCAATGTATTTTATATTTGCAATTTTTTTAAAAAATGTAATCTTAAGTTTAATATTTTTAAAATATTAAATTAATTACAAAAAAATATGCAAGAAAACTCATGACTATTTTTATCATTATACATCTCACCTGCTTTTTAAATCAAATTACTCAAATAAGTTTTAACTTGCACAGCTAATTTATGAAAAAAAGGTATCTAAAACATAATTCACAGACTTTTTTTTCCAAACTCTGTCTATTGGTATCAATTGATTTTAATTGTAATTGTAAATTTTTTAACCTAAATTCATATTTACCTTGGTTAGACGTGTGTTGCTTTTATTGCATGTTATGAATATATGTCCAATGTGATAACTTGATAGATTCCCTTGGATCGTGTCTTAATGTATCCATAGGTTATTGATTACAATTATGATAAAAAGTTTGATTTTTTTAGTATACAATTACAATCAATAGTCCCATGTTGGTTTATTAGTAGATGAATTAAAACAATCGCATTTAATTTGATAATATTATAACAATCAACTTCTGGGTGTTCAAACAAAATTTTTTAAGTAAGTGATATACAACGCAACAATGCAGCGAAACTCTGCCCAACTCTCCATAGTCAATAATAGGTCCATTTGCTAGGGACAGCTAATCCATAACCAATGATCAAGTGCTCATTTTAGCTTCTGAAACTCCTTAGCGCATATGAAAGGGTAGACTATTTTGCATATAGAAATTTGAATTTTGAAGATGGAGAGTATTGAGAGACAGAAGGATAAACATGTACAGAGAACAAAAACTCTCTTTATTTTTATTTTAAACTTGAGAATATGAGAAACAATAGACATGAATGCATCCATTATAGTGATAATTTAATGCTCTTATTGAAAGCTAAAAGTGGATTAAAATAAATTGAATCTTGTCAACTAATTAGGAAAAATATTTAATAAACAAACTAATGAGAGAGTAATATTGATATAAATTTAAAATATACTAACCAATTAGATAATCTTTTTTTGACCAATCAAGTTGAATCCAGGAGATTTACATAATAAATTAGTTGGTTGTTAATAATTAATCCTAGTTGATTTTAAGTTAAATTTCAAATTAAATTAATGTAGTTTTTTTGTTCTTGAACTCAATATAGAGAGTTTGTTAAAAATCTTGCCTCATCCCTTTTGGATTATATACATATACATATACATACATACATACATACATATATATATATATATATATTTTCTAATTGTTTCCTCAACTTTTTACATTCCACTCAAGTAGTTGATGACAATGTTTTAAGTTAAATATTATATTTAATTTATTCAATGGCATGATTGAGAAGATGTAAAAAAATTTTAAAAATTAATATTTTAACAATTTTGTTAAAAACATGAATTAGTTAATTTTATCATGCTCCCTATAGAGTAATTTGGTATATTTGTCAATATCTAGTTGTCTTGGTGACAACATTACATTCCAAAACCTTGTCATTGACACATTTGAAATAGTCTACATTTTGAATTGTTTTTCAAACTTATTTATAAATATATTTTTATTGAAAATAATTATATTTTGCTTTGTTTTCTAATGCTAAGTCTTGAAATAGATATAAAAACAAATTAACCCTCACGTGTTAGGGAATTCCCGGCAAAAATCAAGTCGCATTGGGGGATCTCTTCGGTCAAGTGCAGAGTTAGTTTGACCAAAAAAAAAAAGTTGTTTCTCAATGCGATTTCAAAAAAAAAAAATAAAATAAATATTACAAACAAAAAATATTCATTGTTAATTAAAAATGACCACGAACAGCTGAAGCTTCTTAGCCTTAGGGTATACCCCATACTCTTTAAGAGGAGAACATGTAGTTCTAACTTCAAATAGTACATCAATAGAGTCATGAATTTAAGTTAAGTCTGATCGGCTAACTAAGACAAAGACAAAAATATCAAGATTAGACTTAAAAAAAAATATTTTTTTAATGTTTGATCCAAGCTTGATAGTGTTTGGGCTAACCCAAACACAAAAAATTTGTTATATTTTGTAATATGATTAGTTTATTATATTTATTAATGATATATCATTGTATATCAATAACAAATCATTTATAAATTTGTAAATCTTCAATGATAAATTATGTTGTATAACAATGTGAATTGATCATATTCTTAAATTTTTAAAAATTTCATCCATATTTTTAGGTATAAGATTTTTTTGACCAGTTAACTAATTTATCCCTTTTTGGTGTTAACAGAAAAGTATGTGTATATTTAAGGACACTGTCATATTTTTTTTTTGAAAAAAAATACAAAGATCCATATTACCATATTCTTATTTTTTATATTTTTAATTTATAAATACTTTAAAATAATATTGAAAATATATTTTAATTTTGAGTTTTAAACTAGATTAATGAGCAAATAGGATTTCGAACTCTTGCTTAAAAATCGTCCTGAATTCTAAACTCTTAAAATATGTAAAATAAACTCTAAACTTTTAAATTTATAAGAAAATAAACTTTAACTGTGACTTTTTTAACATTTTCATTTTTTACACGGGTATTATAACAGTTATGGTTAAATTCGTAGAAAAATAAACTCTGAACAATACCTAAGTAAATCGTAAATAGTGTTAAAAAGTTAAAAGTTAGGGTTTATTTTGCTGTGAATTTAAAAGTTTATAATTTATTTTATATATTTTAAAAGTTTAGGATCCAGGACAATTTTTAAGTAATAATTCACGGTCTTATTTACTCATTAATCCTTTTAAATTTGCTTCAATTTGTTTTATGTGCACCGGAAAATGTAGTGTACATTTTTTTAATGATAAAAATAATTAATTTCAATATGAAAATTAAAATGGGCTTACAACATGAAAAAATATTGCCTTTACAACTTTTCAAGTCAATTTAAAAAAAATCCTGAAATCTAAAGAGTTAAAATCAAGTTTAATTATATAAATTTTTCATATGTTCTAACTTGTTTGAGCTATTTTACTCGAATTATCAACTCTAAAGATAATCGTGGCATATAATTAATTTATTTTAAAAGAAAAAAAGGAAAAATTATAATGAAGTCATATATAAAAAAAATTAATTATTATAAAGTTTGTTGATAACTTATGCCTTGTTTGATATGTTGGAATTGATTTTAATAGAAATGAAAATGAAAATGGATATGAAAATAAATATAAAAATGGATATGAAAGTGAGATTTAAAAATACATTTGGTATATCTATGAAATAATGATATAATTATCATTCAAAAGATCAAAATACCCTCCTTAAACTACATTTAGTCTTACTTGAAAAAACAAACCACCATCTAGTTTCAGTCTACCAAATGAAAGCAATGAAATTTGTTTTCCTCAAATCAAATCCACTAATTATCTTATGCAAAATTACAATTGCAATCCAGAATTTGTAACAAAAAATAAAAATAAAAATAGAACCGCCACCTGTTCTGGCCTTTTTTTACTGTGCTGTTCATCACTTTGATGCTGCTTCTTTGGAGGCAGATCTGGATTTTGCTCAACGATAATGGCTTGGAAAATGAAATCGATAGTGAGGAGGGAAGCAGGTCAAAAGGTCGTCGGTGAGGAGTGTGGAGAAGGTCGCCAGCGGGAAGGGGGCGAAGGTCACCTGTAAGAAGTGGGGAGAAAGTCGTCGATAGTAAAAAGGGAGAAGGTTAAAAGGTCGTCGACTAGAGTGTAGAGAAGGTCATCGACAGGAGGGGGAAGAGGTCGCCGATGGGGAAAGGGGAGAAGGCAGGGAGAAGGTCGGATTTTGAGGAGGACAATGAACAACACTATTGAATGATGGGGGTAAAAATGAGATGGAGAACATGGAATTTGAAATCCTTGGGTTTTATTATGGAAATCAATTCCACATGTTTTAGTGGAAATTGAATTAAAAATTTTCAATTCCATCATATTAAACAAACATTTTTCCTAATTTCAATTCCATTTTCATTTTCATACCTTTTATTTTTATCATACCAAACGGGCTCTTAAGGTTTGTTGATAACTGAGTTAAGGCTACAATTGTCAATGGTCTTTACTTAATTGTCAATAAATTTTACACTAATTACTTTTTTTATGTAAGACTTGAACATAATTCTTTAAAAAAATAAAAAAATTGTAATTATAATTATTATAAACAGCGATATTCTTTTGGCCGGAAATAGATTTTTTTCACTGAACCTTGAAGAAGCTTCCCCCCCTCCCAAAAAAAAAAAAAAAAACACACCTTGAAGTAGCCGCATCCACTTTACTCCGCTCTTTGTTCTCTGTTCTCTTCCCTCGTCTGGCGGGAACGTTGTCGGCGATTATGACATCGCTAACGGAGCTTGACGATGATATGGTGCGCAGCATGTCAATAGGCGCAGTCTTCTCCGACTTCGTTAGTCCTTTCTTCTCTTCAAATGAAAATACGAATATTTCCATATTCTAACTTGATTTCATTAGCCTCACGCAAACTGGCAATTAATGCAGTTTTAGGTTTATGCTATTGATTTTAGATTACCATGCATCTTTAATTGCTTATACGACCAAGGCAGTACTGGAATAGCTTAGTTACGTTCTGGTGGGCCTCGCTTTCTTTGAATTAGTTGGTAATTAGTAACCCCCCCTTTCTTGTTCTGGCATAGGATCCTACAATTTCTTGTCAACAGAGGTCTTGTTCTGGGTAGCTTATGCGCCTCTAATCTCTTTGTGATCACGATGCTTTCAGCTCATTTAAAGCAATATCTACTATTATCATAGCCACTTGGAAATTGTACCCTAACCTTGTTCTTGCCCTACTAAAAGGGCATAGTGGCAATGACCCAAAAATCTATCTTTGACATGGATCTATTATTATCTTTTCAGGTCGGGAAGATAAATTCCATTGATTTTCATCGTAAGGATGATTTACTAGTTACAGCTAGTGAAGATGACTCAGTGCGGCTCTATGACATTGCAAATGCTAAGTGAGTTAATCCTTGACTTGTTATTGGAGAGATGTGAATACAGTGTGAAATATTAATTTGTAGTCAAATAGTCCACAATGGCTGTAGAAATTGGACGTTTGCCCCAGAGTCTTGTTTTGTACAATGCTCTAACTGTATGAGAGCTTGTAGCATCACTGGTTTGGCTGTGTTCACTTACTGCATACTTTTCAACTTCGCTTCTCTCATTGATTAAGGGGCTTGCCGCATGAGATTAAAACTATGATAATTGTTTGGTTTCTCAGACTGAAGTAATTTTTATCTGATTCACACATACTAATTTGTGGTTGAACATCTACATCAAACTTCATAGAATGGGTATACTAGTTGCTGATGTGATGTTATTGGCACTGTACTGATGTCAACTGTTGAGAAACCGGTCTAAGTGGAACTCCTAAAGGATTGGGAGTTTAATCTAGGTGGAACTTCTAAAGATAAAAGTAGGAAATGCCATAAATATCATACAACTTGGACAATTATAAATTTTGAATTTCCTAGGTAATAAGAAACTTCTAATCTTTTGACATTGCTAAATTCATACTCATGTAAGGCGGTCTCATGTAGCTTGAAGCACCTGAACCTCATATCTTAATTCAAATGAAAAGCCCATTCAGATAAAAACTTCTACCAACTCAAAGCATGAACTTTGACTAGCTATTTAGCACGTACATGTTTTTTTAATTGAAAGTACACGGCCTTGTTTTGTCATGGAAGAAGTGTAATTTGTATAATTACATCATTGAACACGATTTCTTTAATTTTGATTGACATTGAGTCTACAATACGTGATTCATTTATATGATTACCTGGCTGATCCACCAATGAATACTTTTGTACTTATATCTATGTATTTGTGCAAGTATAGAACATTTTGTCATAAATTTCAGGCTGCTGAAGACCACTTATCATAAGAAACACGGTACTGATCGAATTTGCTTTACTCATCACCCAAGCTCTGTTATATGTTCTTCAAAGTACAATTTGGAGTCTACTGGGGGTGAGCTTTTCTGTATGGGAATATGTTTTGAGATTATTTTCATAGCCTTGTTTGAAATATGAATGCATCTACTGACTCTTTCCCCCAACTATGCCAGAATCGTTGAGGTATTTATCAATGTATGATAACCGATGCCTGCGGTACTTCAAAGGCCATAAAGACAGGTTCGGACTTATTGATCTTAATACTTTATATGTTTTTCCAATTACATGGCTAGTGCTCTTGGTCTCTTGCTATTATCATATAAAGGTTTTTGCAAAGGTTGCATAAAGGCAGGTTTCTATATTTATTTTATTTAAATAAAAACCTGAGGAAACCGATTACTGTACAAGGAAATTTTCAAATAAAAAGATATTGAAAATCCTATCAAAGCTATGCGATAGAAAATTTTGTTTAACTTACCAAAGATTGATGCGTTTCATGTTATATCGCTTGTCCTTACACAGATGTATTATTCAGTCAGACACAAAACATAAGGCACATTAATTTGGTTGTGGATAAGATAAAGATTCTAGAATTAAAAAATGAGACTCTTAATGTCAAAGTTAAGCATTTCATTTGAGTTATCCTATATAATGTTTTTTTTTTGGGTTAAAAGTTATCCCATATAATGTTTAGTTTCTACATTTGTTTTACTATGCCACTTCATAACAATTTTATTTTTATCTTTTTCTAATGTAGGGGTATTATATGCTAATGCTGCAGTTCATATCGCTTTTTCTATACACACGTTTGTAATGATGGTTAGTTCTTTAATTTGTTTTGCAGAGTTGTTTCACTTTGCATGTCTCCAATCAATGATAGCTTCATGTCTGGTTCTCTAGACCACAGTGTCAGAATATGGGATCTCCGAGTAAATGCCTGCCAGGTTGGTTTTTCTTATTTTTGGTGTGAAGTAGACAAGTTACCCATGAATTATCAAAATTGCTTAATCGTGAGTCGCGAGCCTGATATGCTTCTCTTTTTAGCTAGGCTAAAAAGCCTGACCTAATCTTGGATGACATTCTGCAACAATGGAGTTTGAAAAAAAAAATGTAGATATTGCATCTGGAGATAAATTGAAAAGAGAAAAGCAGAATTATGATGATGCTCACCCATAGTTTTCAGGGAATATTACGTTTACGTGGTAGACCTGCTGTTGCATACGACCAGCAAGGCCTGGTTTTTGCTGTGGCAATGGAAGGAGGGGCTATCAAATTGTTTGATTCACGTTCCTATGACAAGGTTTTTATCTGAACTTTTAGTCGTTGCTTTCTTTGTTACCAAATTAATTCCATAACATGTTAGCTTGCTGATGTAGGGTCCTTTTGACACCTTTCTAGTCGGTGGTGATACAGCAGAGGTTTGTGATATCAAATTTAGCAATGATGGCAAATCAATGCTTCTGACTACAACAAACAACAATATTTACGTTCTTGATGCATATGCAGGAGAGAAGGTTAGATTCTGGAGATAACTTTGTTTAGCACCTACAGGTTCTTGATGGTATCATTAATTTCAAATTGACTTGTCTCTCATCTCGTGTCAACTCAGATTCAACTTTCGACATGATCTTTTCCTTACACCTCGTGTTTGGTCAAAACACGAATGAGCTAACTGTTTTAGATTTTCCTGTGCAGCGGTGCGGGTTTAGCCTAGATCCATCTCCAGGTACAAAAATAGAGGCTACATTTACACCAGATGGAAAGTATATGTTGGCAGGTATTCCGTTTATTCTATTTTTTCCTTCTTAAACACCCTTCCTTTCGCGGCACATCTCATCTTATACTTGGGAGCTGATATGCACACCATTGGAATTTTGGGTTCCATCATTGATATCTTTTTAATTCATGTATCTATTGTGGTTAAGGAGATCTCTTCCCCCACTTCAATTTGTGATATTGGGTCAAGATGAATTTGGTCTCCTTCAAAATGGACTCGTGAAGAGTTGTCCTCTGATGCACATCTTATTTTTGTTTTCTTTTTCTTTTTTTCTTTTTGGTTCCTGTTCTCATCTTTCTGTCTCAATCGTATAAACTTTGAATTTTGGAACTAAACTTAGTTTTTGCGTGTCTCAGGCTCAGGAGGCGGAACTATTCATGCGTGGAGTATTGACATGAAAAATGAGGCAAGTGTTTATAGTTCTTTTCTTTTGTTTGAAACAGATTCGCTGCCCAAAAAAAAAAAAAAGGTCAAAACCAGAGGCCTTTGATGCCAGGACCACTGATAAGTGGAACTTGGATTTCTTTCGTTCCTTTTAATTGCTTAGTACTGGTATATTCTCCGGTGAACTGTCCCTCTTTGGCCAGGAGATTATATTATACGCCACAAATTGGCCACACGGCAATTTGCATCGTATTTTCTGTTTCTTTCTGCGGAAAATTTGAGACGGGGGTTGTTCCGAGCAGGTGGCATGTTGGAGCAGCCATATTGGCGTGGCTTCATGCTTGAAGTGGGCCCCTCGCCGTGCCATGTTCGCTGCAGCCTCTTCCGTTCTCACGTTCTGGATTCCCGACGACTCTAAGCTGAAAGCTGAGCACGGTGGTCAGGACTCCGAAGCTGGAGCTCAAACCCAGCCACATGGTCACTAACTTAATCACAGCATTTTTTTTTTTTGGTGTTCTTAAATATACACAAGTTTTGCTCAGGAAACACTCGCCCCCTCCTTTTCCGTGTCTGAAAGTTTCTGTAAAACTTGTGCTTGCTTCGTCAACTTAGCTGAGCAGGCTTGTTTTGCTTCAATATAATTTCAATTCCTTGGTCATTGAACAAATATTTCAAAGAGTTCGCTGTCATAAATGCACTTTGAAAGGCCGAGTATTCATATTGAATGTTTCTGTAGCATTCCGCTTGAAGCAAAGACACTGTTGTAAGAAACGAGATGCAATCGGACCAGTTAAACGAAAAAGGAGATTAACCAGACCAATTAATCAATTCCAAACCGGTTTATTGAATCACGCAAGATGCAGGGCAAAACTATTGAGCCACGCGGGTGATATGCGAGTTCAGTTTGGTGAGGAAAAATGCATCCATTAAAAAAGACTAGGGACCTATGCGAGACCGGTTTATGTTGAATAATGTAACATTAATGTACTAGAGTAAATACAAATACAGGACACATGCATCTACAGAGTAGCACCCCCTCTCATGATATGAACCTTTCTCTGCCTTGCACTTTAACCTGGAGACAGAAGAAAAACACACAAGCGCATCGCGATTACAAGAGACGTAAAAGAGCACAAAGGACTGAAGCGCGCAAAGACGTACGCATTATTATTATTACTGTAATTATTTCCCGTGTAATCCCTTCAACCGGAACGCACACCACATTGTATTCACGACCTCTTCACCTCCTGGGCCTTGGACTGTATCTCTTGCCCGACTTCCTTCGTCTTCTGCCCCACCTGACCCGCCATGTCCGCCATGCGCCGCTTCGCCGAGTCCAGCTGCTCCGGTATCGTCCCCTGCGTCTGCCTAATGTAATTCATGACCCACGAGAACGATGACAGCGCAGTCAAAGCACAAGCCCCCGACGTCAAGAAACCCGCCACCGCAAGCCCAATGACCATGGTGGCCGGCACCAGAACCGGACTAAAGAGGATGAAGAGCGGGACGATCGCCGCCAGTCCCAGGAGTGTACCCATCAGCGATATGCCGGCAGCATGAGCAGCGTGCCGCCTATGGGAACGCCGGCGAGGATGGCAATCATCTGAGAGGTGGACGGACCTTGCGCCGGGAAGAGGCTGCTCTTGACACCGCCCTCATAACGGTATTGAGGGTTAAGCCCGCCTTCGTAACGAGTGGTGACGCTGCCTTCATAACGGGTTGTTGGATGAACATGGATTTGGTGAGTCTGTGAACGATCCGACATGGTCGTCGATATAGTTGAGAAGTGAAGAGAAAGGTGAAGTGTGAGGTGAACGAGGAGGAAGGTGAGATTTCTTATAATGGAAGGTGGGGAAGCAGAAGGGTGACACGTATGCGAGAGATGATGAGTAAGAGGGTTTGCATGAGGTACAAGTTTCAGTGTGGGTGTGGTTAAGATTCGAAAAATGGGCAGAGATTTATGAAATGGAGAAAAAATCGAAACTCTGGAATGGCTTTTTGCGAGAGCGAGAGCCCATAGAGGAAGCTTTTGCCACATTTCTACTTCGCTTCTGCAATATTGCTGTGTTGTGCGCATTACATGCATACAGCTGCGATTGTTTATATGCGTGCCTCTATATTTTGGTCTCAAAACAGCCTTCTGTTTCTCTTTTCTTGTTATATTACAGGGCCATTCATAAAGTTGTTTCGTTTCATAAAATCATTGCTAGGTCCCCAAAAAAATAAAAATATACTATCTGTTCAGCAGACATTCTTAATCGGAATTTTCATACTGGTAAAGGTGCCGATTTGGCCTTCAATTATTTTCCAAGAGCACTAAAAAACTTATATTATAAGGCAATGTAAATAAATTTTTAATTTTAAAAAGTAAAGTATTCAGTAGCCTTTGTTAATTTTTATTTGATGAACGTTAACTTTTTGCGTGGAAAATCACAAAATTTTATTGAAAATAACACATGGTACTCTATTTCAGTAAATAAAGCCCAAATTTAATTATGAAACTATTTTTTAAAAAGTACCGTGTAGCCTTTATTATAAAAAATAAATAATCAACACATTCTCATAATGTGTCAATATCTCCAATCTTTTTACCTTTGTTCTTAATTTTAGCTTGAGAATAAAATGTTCGAATAGTTCTTGTTTAAAACATTTACGAAAACGACACCAACTAAGTAGAAGAAGAAGAGGAAGAAGACAAAGTTAAAACTTTGTGGCAATTCAAGTAAAGTAGTAGTTTAAATTGCATTGCTACCATGCATGAGAGAGGTTTAATTCAAATTTAATTTAGTTATGAAATTATTTTTAAACTTGTAATAGCGTCGCAAATTTAGTCACAAATTATTTTTATAAAAATGAAGTGATTGAATCAAGCTTATCTCGTACATAGCAGCATCACAATTCAAACTGCTACTTTGCTTGAATTGCCATGAAGATTTAAACGAAATCTTGTTTTCTTCCTATTCTTTTTTACTTCTTGATGTCATTCTCGTGAATATCTTTAGATAAGGATTCAAACTGCTACTTTGCTTGAAATGCCTCTTCTTTGGCTGAGAATAAAGGAAAAAAATTGAAGAGATTGATATGCTATAAGTTTTAAAAGTCTGAAAATAAATGACGTTAATGAAAAATTTGCAGGCCTCATATGAGAAATTAACAACCATCAAATAAAAATCAATGGAGGACACTTGATACTCCATTTTTTAAAGTTAAGAATTTATTTAGCAGCATCTTATAATATAAGTTATCCAGTGCTCCTAAAAAAAATAGTTGAGGGTCAAATTTGTAATTTATCCTTTTCATATTTTGAGAGAGAGAGAGAGAGAGAGATCATTTTATCTTGGCACATACAGGCCTGGACAAAAATTGTGGAATTATTTCATTTTTTGACAAAAGGTTTTGACAAAACTCAATCTTTTTATTGCATTTTGGTCAACCTGCCTGACAAAAATTGTGGGATCCAATGGGCTTTTCATTTGTACGCTTTCATGAATCCAACCCAACTAAGACCCAAATTATTTTGGCCATTGAGAATTTGAGATCGAAAAGTAACATGCATAAAATTTATAGGACAAGAGTCGCATGTACGTACTGCTACCGTGCTACGTATTGCAAGAATATAATTTTTTTTGTTGATATAGCAAATGTATATTAATTGTCACGCTCACGGCTCACGGCTCACGCAATATAATTAGGGAATTTCATTTGGAAACGGTTTTAATTTTCTTTATTATTAGCCCCTACATATGAATGTAATCTAAGAATAATGTGTCGAATGAGTGCTTTTAATTTTTTAAAAATTGAATTAAAGAAAAAAATTATTCTTTGTGGTGAGGGAAAAGAGAAGAAATCAATGACAACTAGTTTATATTCAATTAAAAATATGAATAGAAATAATTTTGGGTTATATTTTTTTAATAGAAATTTTAGCTTTGTATTTTTTATTTTGAGTGACAAGGGTAACAAAGTAACTCCGGTAATTAAAAGCAGTTTAATACCTGTGACGTGAGAATAAATTGAGGCGCGCGGTGATAAGTGCTAAACGTAAAACAGGTAATGGTGAATGATGTACCATCTTGTCGGGATCAGATCATGGGACCCTTGAAAACCAAAATGATCATAGGACTAACAGTGGAATGCTAAAGTCTCGGCATGATCCACAGAAACACCAAAAGAATGAGTGAATTAGCAGGGCCAGTCTAGTTTTTGGTGTTGCGATGATAAGAAAAAGGATCAGGCTAACCCTATCTATCTACAAATACCTATATCATGAACATGACTGAAAGATAGAGAGAGAAGGAGAAACTAGTGATGATTTGAAGGGCAATGGAATGTCCCACGAAGAAAGACTTTTGAAAACCTGGCATGTGCCCCCAACCTCACTTCTGGGCTTTAATTCTGGGCATCTTCTCTATTTCTGATTTTCTCCTGTCCCTGTCTCGTCAATCACTCACACGTACTCGTTACTCATTCATTACGATCTTGGGCGGTTCGTGGTGGCCCATTCACTCCCCCCCCCCCCTCTCCTTCTCGTTTCATCATTTTCTAACTCTCCTGTCTCTACATGTCCTTCACCGTCAAACGCTCTCAAATTCAACCTCACACTTACAGTAAAGATCCCCCGCGCGTGCTCTCTCTTGCATGACCATCTATGGCAAAAACGCTTCCTATCCACTTTTTTATACACTCATTTCATCATTTGATGACCATCTTCAAATTTTATATTTGCCGTTTGAAAAACATGTATCAGATTCTTTTTGAGACTCTAGCTACAATCATCTGAAGCTTTCGTCTTTTGTCAGAAAACACGCTAAGTGCAGGTCCCGGCTTGCTATTGATTCTGGAACGTATCGACTTCAGCTCAACTTGCATATAAAATACACATAACTGATCACTGGAAGCGATTGCCCAAGAAAAGACTCAGTTCGTGGGTCATAAAATATACTTCTATTACATATGGCAAAGCGAATTCGTTGGAGCTACTTTCCCACACACCTGTCGTTCTTCATGAATTATGAGGAAGATCGGTCAAGTCTTCTTCCTTCAAACATCTCTGACACACAGAAATATACGCATACGATGGATCAAACGGATACTCTTTTGGCAGTGAAATATTGTACTACTGTTGACCAGATCTTTATAATTAGATTATCATTAAGCACTTATATATAACATATATATATGCCTTGTAAACCATTAAGTATGGGGTAATAATAAAGGATATTGTGATGGATCGTAGTTGACGGAAAATGTCAAATGTCGCGTGTAAGTTTAATTTATAATTATAAAAGTTATGAAAACACACACACACACACATATAGTAGAAATATATATAACAGGAAGAAGGAAAGCAGAATGGGGAAGGACAAGAAAGTGCGGCGTTATATCCGCATCATGCTGAGAACTTGTCTTAATATATATGGAGGCTTTAGATTTACCCTTAGATCACATGGGTGAACAGAGCAATATCCCTTTCATGAATAATAATAATAATCTCAAAGTATTAATTTCGTCGGATCTGAACCACTAGATGCTGTCACCAAGAGACATGACACGTACGCAAAGGTTTCTTGTTCAAACATAATCTCCCAAGCAATCTTCTTCAAACACAAATACCAAACCCTTATATTTTATATATTATGTATAGTAGTGATTATAAGTCAACAATTCACAGCACTGCTCTTTCTTTGACCAGCACAAATATGTGTGGTGTACAACACCCCAGGACACTCTCACCTTTCAATTGTTCACGCGTTATATTTGAACCTGAACTTGCCTGTACTGCATTATATATTCACTGGCTACAAAATTTTTGCTTTTAATTAGATTTTGTTGGTTCATATTGCTGTATCTAGCTAGTTATTGCCATTATAGGAAATTACTTACAAGTATGTTGCGTGAGTTCTGTGGAAAGCAATGCCCTTGGGTATATACATACATCACGATATATATTATAATAACCAGACAATCCATAATATACCGTTTATAAGATTCTGATGATTAGATATAGTTGCCTTGATGCAATATTTAATAAGGCACAGTCGGTATGTTTTGGGCCACAGTATGGCATATGTAAATATAAGTTATTATAATTAACCAACATAGTGCCTTGATTGGGTTATTTCAATTTTAAGCTTTGCAAAAGAGAAGTTCAGCTGCATTGATAAGACATGTACTCCACAATGTGCCATATATACATAAATAATAGAGGGCCTTCACACAATATTAATAATTACAATATATATACACGACAATAACATGCCGTACCTGCCTCTCCTCCTACCTTCATATCCCATATACACACACCCCAATTCATTTGAACATATATAAAGAAGAAACCTATATATAGATGGTTACAACCCTTGATTTAATAGGAATATATGAGACTATATATGTAAAATGCACAGAGATACAAGATTTAAGAATTACGTGTTGATTAATTAATTGCCCCCACCACTCAATGATGATGAATATATATGGTAATAATTAAGGAATAATGCAAAAAACCCTATATACTTTCAATACTTCAGTCGTCACTTGCAAATAACATTTTAAACTTTCAGAATCAGGAAATAAATTCATCAATTTTTACACTTTATGGGACCTACTGATCATGCTGATGAGTCTTCATGCTATCTAGCTATTTCACTTTTAATAATTTGTTGCTTATTCACATAGACTCTTCTGTTTAGAAGCACATGGCATAGGGAACAAGGTTAACCGAAGGCTTTGCCACATCAATTCCAAGACTACGTCTTTGAAAAACTGAAGATTTAACTAAAATTGAGAAACTTATTTTTATGATTTCAAAAATTCAAGAAATTTCTTTGCAAGTGACTTAAAAGTTGAAGTAGGTAAGGGTTTCTGCAATGATATTATTTGACTCTACTAGTAATGATTCCAAGGAGAAGGATAATAAAAGTCAGAAGGAGATTGACCAAGAGACGTAGAACCAGCTCCTCCTTGATCATCACCCATCCTTCTTGCAGAAGCTTGACCAGAAGGCATTTCATTATTATTGCAGGTATAGCGAATCAAATCAGCATTAGTGGCATCAAGTTCCTTCTGAAGCCTAATGACTTGCCTCTGGAGCACAGAAATGGCTCCTACACAGCCATACACAGGATCTTTAATCCTTGCTTCGGCTTCATAAGCTAGAGAGTTCACAGCATCCTCTCTCTGATGTGGCTGCACTTCGTTCAGCAGCTTGCTCACGTTGCTGGCTCCAAATATTTTGTGAACATTTGCAAACTTTTGAGGCTCTTCTGGTGGGAAATATGGCGCGAATATGCAGTCTGGCATGCATTTCCTTCTCAGAAACTTGCACGCGGCACATGGAGAATTTGAGTAGCTTGAAGAAGAGGCCATTTTGATTATCTATATATCTCCCCTCGCTGCAACCAATAATAGCCAATTTATTAAACACATTAACATCTTCGTATATCATAGTATAAAGAAGACACAGATTTTAAATGATGCAAGGAGAAAATATATATCTTAACTAGAAAAAGTTCATTAAGTAATGCTGGCTGGATCACAAAGACACATTCATGCACTTATCCCATGTATATACGGTCGGTCGATGATCCATACCAAGTATTAGATTTCATGCACATATGGAACTAGGGTTGGGGAGACAGAAAAACTTTACTCGCATATATCAGACACTTGATATATGCTTCTTTTCAAAACTTTTTTTCACTTTTTGTGCATACCTATGCACTGCCTTTCTTGACTCCGTGTGTGCTGTATACTATTCATTGATTCTCAGAGTATTCCCCAGAATCATTTCTCTTTCCTCCTTTCTTTCTTTCTTGTTTTGGAGAGAGAACGATAGAGAGAGAGAGAGAGGAACTAAAAACAAAAGGGAAAAAATATTCTGGCTACCAGCTGATCAGACAGGCTCTTTTGCTAAGTATGATTCCTTCACTTTGCGATTCATGTCTTCTCTCTTACTTATTACCTCCTAGCTAGGTCATACTTAGCCTTAGTTGGCCAGCACAATCACACACACACACACACACACACACACACCCCTCTCGCTGGAGCTTCTCTTTAATTAATCAAACGACTGATACATTTATGTGGAATACAAGTTTTTTAAATTTTCAACTTCTTCGATGGGAATATCATACCCATTAACCCAGAATTCCGTACACTTGAAATTAGAGTGAAGACCAAAAGCCCAGTATATATCAAACCTTCAAACATCAGTTGATTTGCAAAACTAAACAGCAATATTATAACAGAAACATATATATAAAAATCACAGTCGAATCTAAGTTATACCTTTGCTAGGTTTACTTGAACAAGGCAGCTAGCTAGCAGGATACTGTAAATTGATGTCCTTCTTGCCCCTTGGACGCAGGCTCTAGCTAGCTAGCTAGCAAGATGGATCTAATCTTTAATCAAGTGTCTGAAACGAATAGCGAGAGAGAATTGTTGAGGAATTGGTAATTTGATGTGAGAGGTTGAGAAGGAGGAAAACCCTAGTTAGTTGGAAGACAAGATGAGAGAAACCCGCAAATACAGTGACGTTAGATGAGAGGCATCAAAGTGTTGGTTGGGAGGCAAAGAGCATTTTCATTGAGAGAAGAAGGAAAAGAAAGCTAAAGACAAGTGCCATAAATGGGCTGTGTAAAAAAGATGACTACGACTCAACCTTTTATAATAATATCAAACACTGTTCAGTGTTCACCAACACTGCCCGAGCAGCTTAATTAACTTGCATTATATTCCCTCCGCTCTCTCTCTCTCTCCCTCTCTCTCACAATGACTTAAATGTATAAATGTTTATATATTACTTTTTATATTGAATTCGAGTGCAAAACAAACATTTTAATTTAATTTCCCACCCAAAACAGATTTGTCTCTGTGCGTATGTTGCTTTCTCCACATTACCCGGTGGTGATCTCCAACTGTATATATTTACTTCTCATCAGCACCTAGTTTTTTTCATGGTTGTAATTGCTTTATGTGTGAGCTAGTCACCAAGTTAAATAAATGAGATATATTATGGAATTACATATATATAAATGATTACTCTATAAATGAATCGGAAAAAGCAAATAATTGGGAAAGGGAGCTTGGTACTTTTGCTGTAGAGGGGCTGCTGTGGATCGATAAGTATATATGAGTGTGACTGCTATGTGTGTCTATATATATATATATATATATAGAATTGTTGTGTGTGTGTGTGAGTGTGTGTAATGTTGCAGCTATTTAAGCTTAATGGGGTAACGTTTACAACACACAAGTATTCACAATGAACATATTAAAAAGCTTCTTTAAGACATTCCACTATACACGCATCGTTTTCGGTCGTACTGTGCAAAACGTGAAGCCATAGTTCTTGAGACAGAGATAAAACAAAGACAAGAAGGACTGATAGGAACCCCAACAAACATGAGATTCCAAGAAATTAAAAAGCGTTTTATGTATGAGACAGAACAGCGTGTATGTGTATGCTCAATTAGGTTCTTCCCCTTCGAGCGGTCCCTCCTTTTTGTAGGGCACACACATCAGGATTCGTTTCCATTAAAGATGTGTGATGATATCAATGCAAATCTCTGTGCTCTCAATGAAGCTGCACTGCACACTGTTTCGGCCTCAATTATTGGGTTCAAATATATTCCCCAGAACTTCAAAATGCTTTAATTTGAGCATCTAATAAATATGTATATATATGCACCATTCTATTATTATAAGGAGAGATATAAACAATAATAATGACACAAAAAAGTGAAGAGTGTGTAAATGCATGAGACCTAATATGTCTGGACTTAAATCAATGGAAGTATGAGAAACTATCTGGTAATTTAGTTTAGACATACATATCTTTCTATTTTTTGGCTTAAATTAGACATACATGCCTAAATTTAATATTTCCTTTCTTTTTAAATGTCTTTAAATTATCTTTTCACAATTATTTTATAATTAAAAAAATCAGAAAATGAATATGAATTATACATTGCAGCAACCAGTTTCACAAATTGTTATAGATTTTATATTAAACTATTGATATGTATTTGATTATTCAAACTAGCTAGAGTAAACTTGCATAAGAGAAAGGACTTTGAGAATTTTTTAAGGCTAATCGGAAATTTTTTCCCTCCCTTTTTCTTCCACCCCACCACCCAAAAGAAACTATTAAACAAGGAAAAGGTTTGAAAAATATGAAATTTAATTGATACTCCTACTTATATTCATAATCAATACATGTGAATAAAAAATTAATCTCCTGTTCTTATAAAAGATGTTAAAAAAATATATATATATCAGTATTTTTGAATTGTTCGGTGATGATGACAAAAGTATCATGAATATATGGTATCAATAAAATCATATTAAATATATTTTTATTCCTTTCTTTCTTAATACCAAAGATAATTCCATTAGATAATAGCATTAAACACCGTGTCAAGAGATTTCAAGGCCTAAGACAAAATAAGTATAGGCTAACATATAACATTTTGACATTTTTTACCACAAAAAATAATAAAAATTAAACACTCAGCATTTTGTATTTTCAAAAATAAAGTTTGAATTAAAAAGGAACAAATACACCTGATAGTGAGTAGTACAAAGATGAAAACATAAAGCTTCTACTCAATTGTGCATGCTCCAATGTTTTGGTTGGATCCAAAAATGTAAAAAAAAAAATGTAGCAAAAAAGGTATCTAATGACTGATATTTTCTTTAAATTTTAGAATAGAAATAAGAAAAAGGAGGAAAATGGAAGAGTGAAGATGAAAAGTGAGAATTAGAGATGATGAAGAATGAGAATTGTAGAAAGAAAATAAATAATAATTAATGGCCAGGCCAAAACCAACCCAATAATTCAATAGGGAAAGAATTGAACTTTATTTTTTTCATTTTGTATTTATTACATAACAATAGATACAATACATCTATTATACACATTAGGGGTATCCAAGGTTTTTATTTGGAATCCTAGAAAATTGTCTTACTTGCTTATGGGCTCTCACGACCTTGATAGTATTTGAGTTGGTATAAACACTTAGTAAAGATTTCATCATGTAAGTAAATTAAAAGTTTGATCCTAGCTCTTATGTATGTATAGCAATTTAATTGATGGGAGTTATTTACCTTTTACCCTTAATACCTAGTAAATTTAATGTTCACTTTATTTTTTTATTAATGAGTAAACTTGACCTTGAAGTATTGCAAAAAATCCTAAATCATGAACTTTTAAAATGTGCAAAATAAATCTTAAACTTTTAAATTTATAATAAATTAAACTCTACTATTATCTTTTCATTAATATCGTTACTATTCATCTTGGGCTGAGTCAAATGCTGACGTGGTAGTCCTCTGTTGATATGTCGCTTGTTAATTAGCACCACAAACTCTAAATATTACATGAGTAACATTCTGGACTTTGAACTTTAAAATTTTGAATAAATTACTCTCGCTATTTATATATAATACGTTGACTATTATGTAAACCAAATTAGCCTTAGTGTAGTTTACTGTGGTAACTATATTGTTAGTCGTGGTGGATGACTCATAATTATGTAAACTGATGTTTTTCAATGTTTTTTAAATAATTGGTATATCTTACTTTCGTATATTCTATAACTCTAATTTAATCTTTGACACTACTATCGAATAGCACCAAAATTAATAAAAACTAAATTTTGCAGTAAAACGCAACCTAGGTCGTCTCTCTAAGAGTCAATAGAGTAACTATTTGAATTATGATTATGAAAAGCTAAAAAAATGGGGGGTTTTATAATGAAATTAAAAAAATCTAAATTAAAATTAGATAAATAAAGAAAATTCAATTGAGAAAATTATCAAGAACAAGCAGTGCACTCAATTACAATCCAATCACCTAAATTTAATCTTCCTCGTCCACAAAATAAATTAATTTTATTCAACTTTATTATTCTGGTTTTATTATATATTTCTCAAATTATCATTCAAGAATTAAACGAGAAATTAAGTTATAGATTAATTGAAATCTCCCTTAACCCACAACCTAACAACTGTTCTATGTTAGCCATACCAGAAACAAAGCATGGATGATCACCCAAGCCAGACCAAATTACTCTTAAGTTACTATATCAAACGATTATAGTAAGTAAAACCTCAGATAAAATTTATAACTTAAAAATTATGCAATAAAACTACTCTAATCAGCAATAGCATTTAAAGAGGTAAAGAGAAGAAGAGCAAATTGAAATAAAGCTAGAATAAAATCTTCTCTGAATATCAAAGACTTTGATTAAAATTTAGGATCATAGTTTGTAATTGATCACACTAAGAAAATTAGCTATCCATAGAATTAAAAATCAAGAAACATAAGAGGAGAAATTGACAAGCCATCGTCAGAGAAATTGAAGAAAAAAATGAACTACGATCGCTGCTATCCTATTTTCCCCTTCTCTTCATGATGCCTCCATCCAAGTCGTCTAAGTCTTCTCTTTCATTTATATATATAATATATATGATGTCATGCGCCTCCTGTGCTGCGTCTCTTCCAAAAGAAAATAAAATCTAATAATTTATTAAAATGATAAAATTATCCTAAATAATCCTAATTAAAAACTACACTAAAATACCCAAAGTAAATTTAAACAAAATTTTAAAGATTTAATTCTTGATTTGATCTCCAAGCATGCCCATATTCTTCTTATCCAAAATATTCTCTATTAATATCTTTCAAATTGAATCTAGAAAATCTGCACAAATAAAATAAAATTAAATAGCACCTGTGCAAAAATATTAAAGATATCATTTATATTTTAAAATCAAAGATTTAGTTAGTTGAAATTTCAAAACTGAATATTGGCTAATAAAATTAAATAATATTAATTAAACTCAATTAGCCTCAAATAAATATTTAAAAGTCTAAATTAAAAGGATAAAAAATATATAAAATTATCATTTATCAATCTTAATTTTGAATAATGTCTATTTATTTAATAGTAAAAACTTGGAATCCCATTAATGAAATCTTAACTAAAAAAGTTTAAATATAAGAGAATTTTTATTACCTGGTTAATTTGGGTTTCAATTCATTGATAAAATTGTTGGCTTTCACATCTATCGTCTGTAAAATCTTATGATACTTAAATTTTTTTCAAATGGGATCCCAAATTTTTACCATTAAATAAATATTATTTAAAATAAGATTAAATCAGAGTTATATAGTATACGTAAGCATGAGAAATCAAGTGTTTGTAAAACATTGCAAAAAAGGACAAAAATGATATTTTACAAAATTATGAGTTGTTCGTCACAATTAACGAAGCATTTACCGTGGCAAACTACGCTGAGGTTAATTTAATTTACATAATAGTCAATATTCTATACATAAATGGTGGGATTATTTGCTTGAAGTTTCAAAATTTAATGTCCAAGACGCTACTCGTGTAATAGTTTATGGTCTGTGATGCTAATTAACAAATGATACATTAGCAGAAAATGCCATGTCAGTATTTGATTAGAGCCCACGGTAAACAGTAACTGCGTTAAAAAAATAATGGTAGGGTTTAAGTTGCTACAAATTTAAAAGTTTAGAGTTCATTTTATACATTTTAAGAGTTTAGAATTCAGAGTGCTTTTCGCGTAATACTTCAGGGCCCATTTTA